CAGCCATGCTATTTTGTGTATGAACATGTAGAACCGGATGCTCAACATCGATTCCCAAAGACATATAATAATCATTAAACACTTATGAAGTGAATTCACCAGCGTTATCCAACCTTACTTTCTTTATAGCATAATCGGGGAATTGTGCTCTCAACTCGATTATTTGGGGAATGAATTTAGCAAAAGCCGTATCTCATGTGGTTAATAGACACACATGTGACCATCTACTAGATGCATCAATCAAAACCAAAAAATATCTAAACGGCCCGCATTATGGGTGGATTGGCCCACATATATCACCATGTATTCTTTCAAAAAATTCTGGTGATTCATTCCCAACTTTGGATGGTGATGACCGAGTTACGAGTTTTCCTTGAGAACAAGCATTACAGTAAACTCGTCTATTTGTAATATTTTTCGTTTTCAACGGATGGACATTCAAATTTCGCACAATCTTTCTCATCATGACTGAACCAGGATGGCCTAATATTTCATGCCAAACTTTATATGTACTAGTAAACTTCTGTTTTACTGTAACTTAGATTCAGTTATACTTATTCATAATTCTGGCATTTTCTGAATTTAAAATATTCATAAAAGATGCATTAAAAAGTATTAAAAATATACTTGGTAACGCAACTTATTGTACAATAGAACCTACAGCAAAACATTCAATGCGAAAACATATAAAACATCAAAAACATTAAACTTTTATTTTTCATGTCTTCTTCAGAAAGACATCATATTACATCAATTTTTCTCGCTTTATTGATCCTTCTAGATTAATTTCAAAATCTGAAACATCGAGATGAGTATCATCATCAAGGTTATGTAAAGAAGGTCTGAAATCATCAGATAAAAAGTTTGTTTTCCTTTCTTTCTCTTTTGCCCTCTGTGATTCTCGGTATAGATCGGCTAAATATTTTGGCGTACGACAAGTTTTCTTTTTTCTTTTTATTTCTCGGCCGTCACGGTCATCATAAAAAGTTTTACTACATTTTTCATGACTGAAATCATGTGAACGATATCATCTTCCTCGTCTACGTCCATATCCATGACCATGATTTTGACCACGGTATTGACCGCGTCTGTGTCCATGTCCTTGCCAATTATTATAGCTGGATGATGCGACATTCGCTTCTGGGAATGGTGCAGATCCAATTGGACGGCTTTGATGGTTCATCATCACGAGCTCATTATTCTGCTCTGGAACAAGCAGAACATTCATTAACTCCGAATAATGGGTACATCAATTTACCCGATAATGTTGCTGCAGGAATACATTCCCAGGGTGAAATGTGGAGAGCATTTTCTCAACCATATCATAATCTCTTATAAATTCTCCACATAACACCATTCTGGATATTATACCAAACATCAAAATTATAATTACTAACATTTTTGTAGTCCTGAAACCGGAGATGTAAGCACTCGTGTCTGGCTTTCGGTAAGATCACATATTTCTGGTGATTAAACCTTTCTTTAAGTGATTGCCAGATATCTGCAAGATCTTCTTTGATAATGTACTCATCTTTTATGCCATCATGGATATGTTGGCGTAAAAATATCATGGCTCTTGCCTTTTCTCATCCGATGTCGGTTTTGACTTATCGATGGTATCAAGAAGCCTGTTCCCTCTTAGATGCTTTTTTGCACCTACTGCCCATGTCATATAATTTTTCCTGATAATATCAAGGGCAACAATTTCGAGGTTTGCTAGATTTGACATTATAGATTTGAATAGAAGCACAGATTCAAATTTGCAGATCAAGCAGATATTGCAGATAAAACAGAACATATACAGATATGTAGATTGTGCAGATCATGATTAATTTCAATTAATAAACAAAAATATTAAAAATTAGATCTGCAAGTGATCTGGTACTTTTCAATAGGTTTTTGATTTTGAATGCAGATAAAAAAATTAAAGCAATAATTGTTCTGCATGCAGATCATTAATAAAAATAATATTTTTTGTTCTACAATAAAATATGTAAATGGCAGATTTGTTGCAGATAGATCTGTATGTCTATTCATCTGCATTATATCTGTATCCCATTCAAAGCCTATAACTGAATAACAAAATCTTAATCCGTTTAATAAAAAATTAAAAATTTGAGCATAATAACGAAATAATAACAGACAACAATTAAAAACAATATGAAGAGACAGAGCCTACCATATAATTTCTGATTGTATAATAAATAAATAAACAACGATGAGGAGTTTTAATCATCCATGCAATAAATAAATAAATAGATAAAGATGAGGGGTTTTAATCTCCCACTGCATAAACGTGATCCGAGGAGACATAATATATCATGTGATCATTTGATCGTGAAAGCATAGCCTACCATAACAATCTGCTTGAAAGAGGCAAAGCTTATCATCCTGGCATAATAAACAACATAATTACTTGATCGTGAAGGCAGCACCGACCATAACAATCAGCTCGGAGGAGACATAGCCTACCATCCCGGCATAACATATAAACGAAGAAGGCAGAGCCAATATTTTCTAGATAATAAACTTTCAAATAAATTAAACCAAAATAAATTTTACCTTCTAATTATAGATCTGACTTCCGGATATAGATCAAAAAATGTTCGTGCTGATAACGTATTATAAATATATATTTGTATATATTATCTATATAAAAATATTTAATGTAATAAAAGTAAAATAATATGTAAGAGAGAAGGGAAAAGAAGACTATGGTATAAGCTTTTATTGTTGTTGCAATTTTATGTTTACATCAAGTGATAAATATATAGTCAGACTATATATATATAATAATACATGTCCGTGAATACAATCAATATTGATAAAGAAGTGGATAAAATGTTTTGTTTTTTTTTCATTCATAAGTAAAGCTTTTAATTTTTTTTTATATACAAGTTTCAGTTATGCATAATATATGCTGATGTATTATTTCAGGGTTTTAATAAAGTTTTTGACACATCTTATTATATAAAATGGAGAATATAGATAAGACTAAGTTCAATTTAATAAAAGTAAAATAATGAGAAATAAAAAATAAATAAAATTAGCTGTAATTTAAGAATATATATATATATGTATATATATATATAAAAACACTAATTTTAAAAAGAAAAATAAGATAAAAGAATACATCTTAATTAGAAAAGGAAAATTAAAACAAAAGTAAATAAGATTAAAATTAGTACTTCACATAACCGCAATATGTCGCGATTTAAATCGATAAGTTTTTGACTAATATCGCGACTAAAAAAAGTAAATAAAAATAAAATAAAACTACAACAATTTTTTTTAAAAAAGAAAACTAATATACTAAAATTAAGAAAATAAAATTAAATACAAAAGTACATAAGATTAACTCCAATTTAACAAAGTAAAAAATTATGTTTTTCAATTTAAAAAAATATTCAACTTCAGTTTAAGAAAATATAAGCTAAAACATTAATACTAAAAAACAGAAAAATATAAGCTAAAAGACTAATCTTAAATAAAATTGCTGGATCTGTTCAGTTCTAAATCTACCGGATCAATTGCTGGATTATCATTGGATTTTACCAACATAGATTTTGAAATACTGCCAAGTGCCAACTTACCAGAATATCTTGAAATTCACAACTGCAGTTCTAGAGTATTGCCAATTTACCGAATTTTATCTCTGAATTCGCCCCTCTTCTCTACGGAGAACATTTTCAAACGCTCAGCTGTTATGGTATTACGAGCTATTAGTGTGGGTTGCTCGTTTTTACTGACAGAAGAACGTCAGATCGTTATCAACACGATAATCTTAAAAGCCCTTTTCAGGAAGCTTCCAATTTTTATCTTTGATTCAAACTGTCTAACTTATGTTTATAAGTTATTGTATTTTATTTCTGTTACAAATAGCATTTACTCCTTGACGAAGAGTCTACTATTTGCTGCTTTTGTAGTTCAAGCTGAAGTTTAATATAATCAAAAGTTTGACCCAAAAAAATAAAAAAAATATTCTAAAATTATATATTTCAATTAAGAAAACTAAAATTAAAACAAAAATAATAAGATTAACTTTAATTAATAAAAGAAAAGAATATATTTCGGTTAAGATTTTGATATGTGTTGCGACTAAATTAAATATAAAACATAAATTTAAGAAATATCACTATTATTAAAAATAAGAATAAGAAATAAAACTTTGACTATATCTAGAGGAAAAAGGAATAAATTAAAAAAGTTATAAATCTCAGTTAAGAAAAGTAAAAAATAAAAATAAATAATACATAAAACATAAATTCATGAAATATTACTATTATTAAAAATAAGAAATAGACATTAAAACTATTACAATATCTAAAATTAAAAGAAATAAATTAAAAATATATATATATTTTTTTAAATAAGAAAAGGAAAAAAAAATAAAAAGTAAAGATTAATCCTGAAAGAAAAAGAATATATTCCTCACATTTTTATAAACACATAAAACTCTTATTATATTAGTAGACTAATTCTTCTCTTAGAGTCAGATCAAACTAATAAGATAAGAAACTTTTTTTTTGTATTCTTATAACTTTAGTAACAATGAAAACTTGATCACACAAACTTATTTATGCAGGGGGGTGGAACGCATGCAAAGTGCATGGTTGGGAATATAACAATAGCTTGAGAACCAATTTCAATAATAGATTATACATTGATCATCATTATAAGCTGCGAAGTTCGTATTCCTATTTTATGAAAGATGAAAACTTTGCGAGAAAAGTAAAAAGAAAAAAATTTATAAAAAAGGAAAATTATAGTATATAGATAAGAGATATATTAAAGTAAATTTAAATCTTTAAAAAAAAGAAGGGAATAACACATATAAACAACCGACTACACTACTAATGGAAAAACTATACAACCGACTACTACTAATCCAATCTTAAAGGAACATGTTTCTGATATATATTGTTTACCCCTTTAGAAGTTTTCTTAATCGTAGAAGGAACAAAAGGAAAGACGCATACACAGTTTAGCTTTCGATCACAATGAGTCTCGATCTCTCTCGCTGCGTGTCAAATTCAACCATAGAAGAAGCTATAAAGAACCAAAACGACATAGCGTTGGTCCTTTCGAAGCATATCTTCTCTAAAGCCAAACATTCCAACGCCATTTTCTCTCCGGCGTCGATATACGCCGCGCTCACTTTGGCAGCCTCTGGTCCCACCAACGGAAGTTCTTTAGTCTCCGACGAGATCGTCTCCTTCCTGAGGTCTCCTTCGATCGATGAGCTAAACGCCATCTTTAGCGAGATCGTTTCCGTCGTCCTTGCGGACCGTAGCGCGAACGGCAGTCCAAAGATCTCGTCGGTCAATGGCGTCTGGGTCGAGCAATCGCTACAGACTGATCCATCGTTCAAGGATCTCTTCGAGAATAGCTTCAAGGCTCGTTTCGAACGCGTAGATTTCCGATCAAAGGTAATCTCAGTCTCTTCCTTACTTTTCTCATAAGAGCTTTTTAATTTCTATATTCCGTAAACTAATAAAGTATTCTATGCCGTAATCGTGATTTAACCTAGACGAAAATCTAGGGTTTTGAGTGTTATGTACGGTTTTTTTTTTACGGAATGATAGAAAAATCAAAATTAGTAATAGTTTTTCTAATAGTTTTTCAATGTTATGACTTTTTTAAAAAAATTTTAAGTTTTTCTGTTCTATTAATTCTTTTATTTTATAGTTTAAATATTTCGCTATTGACATGACGTTCAAACCCTACCTAATTAGTACAATGTTATAAAATTGTATGGCTTCACAATTAATTTTCTGATATAGTTTTTGTTTTTGTTTTTTGTTTCTTTGGTGGTATTAAAAAAAAAGGCTGAAGAAGTGCGTATTGAATTGAATTCATGGATTTCAAAACACACCAATGGTCTCATCGAAGATGTTCTTCCTCCTGGATCCGTTACACACTTAACCGAATGCGCTTATGGAAACGCATTGTACTTCAAAGGGAAATGGAAAGATTCATTTGATAAGTCATGTACGAGCGACAGAGAGTTTCACCCTCTCAATGGAACCTCAGTGTCTGTGCCATTCATGAGCAGCTACAGGAAACAATACCTACAGGCTTATGATGGTTTCAAGGTCCTCAAGATACCTTATCGAAAAGGCAGTGATGATACCAATCGCAGCTTCTCAATGTATTTCTATCTCCCGGACAAGAACGATGGACTGGATCATCTTGTGAAGACAATGGCATCTACTTCTGGATTCCTGGATAGTCACGTTCCAAGTTGGAAAGTTTCTGTTAATCAACTCAGAATCCCAAAGTTTAAGATGGATTACAGATTAGATGGTGGAAAGGTTTTAAGTGAGTTGGGATTGCGTTCAATGTCCTTGTACCATAAAGCTTGTGTTGAGATCGATGAAGAAGGGGCTGAAGCTGCTGCTGCTACTTTTGTACTTGCTACAACGACAAGTAGTTGTTATATGGAGCCGATGATTGATTTTGTGGCAGATCATCCATTTTTGTTCTTAACTAGAGAAGACAAAAGTGGAACTGTTTTGTTCGTTGGTCAGATCTTCGATCCTTCCAACAAATCTTCTTAGGCTCTGGGGGCTCAGGTTCAACCGGGATTTGTGTTTGATCATATGGAAAAAAAGTATAATTAGGTTTGGTTACAAGTTTTGGGTTTAGAGATAGGTTTGAGATTCTAGGGACGGGTTATATTGGTTAGTGAGATTTGTTTTTTGTTTCGTTTTTTTTTGTGTCTCAGCAGTTTGATATTTACTTTAATCTTGAATTATGAATCAATTTATTCAGATTTACATGTTTGTTTATTCATAAAAAATGCTCTAGCATCCTCTCATTAATAAAAATTTTTAAGGGAAAAGTAAGTTTGTGAAAAAAAGTAAAAACAAAAATAATATAAAATGGAAAATTTATTAATATTAGGAGTAGGCTGGGAGATATATTCAAATGCCTGCAGTTGTGGTTGCGGATGTAAGAGTTTGCGGAAGCAGGCGATTGCAGTTATCAGCATTAGTAAACGGTTTTTAGGATTTGCATAGCGGTTCAAACCGAGTATGTTTGCATAATATTTATGACTAGTTGATATGCAGATATACTAGCGGTTAACTCATAATTTTAAAAAAAAATAAATTATATAATTATAAAAATATAAAAATCATATTATTATTAAAAATTATTTCTAACATAATTAATAATAAAAACTATAAGAAAATAATATATGTATTATATTTACATTTTTCTTACATTTATTTAGTTTATAATAAAACTAAGATTTAAATAGATAAAAATTATAAGACTAGGATTAGATTAAGAGATTTTTAGTTGTTATTATATACTTCTTTCGTTTCATAAAGAGTGTCGTTTTAAAGTTATATTTTTGTTTCATAAGTGCTGTTTTATATTCTCAATGAAGGATTTTAAACAAAAATCTAGTTTTAACTTTATTGTTTTCAAGTAATAATTAGAAAGAAAAATATTTTTAATGTATAATTAAAGAGTAAAATAGAGTTTCTAATTGATTTCTTAAAATGTGTAGAAAAACTCTCAAATAATACTTTTTATGAAATAGAGGGACTATATATTAGTGATGGAGAGAAAATTTATCAAGAGAATTTTGGGTTATATATTATACATATAAAATTATTTTAGATGTTAATAAATAATAATTTAAACATACCAAAATTATTTATATAATTTGAAATAATAAAATTTAAGTTTTTATACAAATATTTTCGTTTTAAATAAATTTCATATTTTAAAATTTTAATTGTTCACACACAAATACCCGCAACCGCAAATGCTCATGGGCAAGAGCTTTTGATTTTGAAGATGTTATGACAAATGTTAATAATTATCTATTAATAATAAATTTAATTTTTATACATATATTATGTTTAAAATAAATTTTGTATTTAAATTTTTAATAGTTCAGCCGCAAATACCTGCAACCATAAACGCTTGTGGGAAGGAGCTTTTGATTTTGAAGAATCAGCAAAAGTACAAAACGGCAAAAAACATTTTGTACGATTGTTATCAAATGCTAACAATAGTTACCATCCGCAAAAGCTGAGTTTGCGGGTAATAGTGGTTGAACTAATCAATACCTAAAAGATAATTTAATTTTCGTAGTAAAAAGAAAAACTAATTAAAAATAAAATATACAACCAAAGAAAATAAAATTAAAAAGAAAGTATACAACCAACGACTACTAATCCAAATCTAAAAGAGAAAAATGTTAGTGATCTATATATGTTTAAATTAATATCTTATTATATAAAGTTGGATATGTTAAAGTTAGTAATTAACATAATTGTAGCACATGGCGAATCAATCGATAAAGTTTTGATATATGTCGTGATTATAATATATATGTAACAAAAAAGAACTTATTAGAACTTAAAATTTTCTAATGAACATAATCGCAACATATGTTGAATTAATCGATAGGATTTTGACATATATTGTAATTAAATATATTATTAAAAACCTAAAAGAAAAAAAAAAATAATAAAGAATACTTCTATTTTAAATGGAAAATAAAACATACTCAATTTTAAAATGAAAATAAAATCAAAAGTAAATAAAATAAATATACTATTAAAAACTAAATGAAAATAAAATAAAATAAAAATACTTCTAATTTTAAAAGAATTATAGAACATACTTCTATTTTTAAAAGGAACATAAAACATACTTTTATCTAAAAAAAGAAAACAAAAACAAAAGTAAATAAAATAACCTCCATTTAGAAAAATATACATGCAAAAACTAATCTTTATCAAAAATGTTTATCAAACTTTGTTTTTTCGTTTCTTATTTCATCTTACATGAAGAATGAAATAATAAATTAAATTGATCGTGATCCATATGTTAATCTATAAAAAAATTGATCTAACTCTGTTTTTCTATTTTCTTTTTTCTTTTTTATGAGTAATGAAACATTAATTATATAGCAATGAATATATTAATAATATATTAAATTGATTATGATACATGTGATTTAATTGATTATATGTCCACATGTATAACAAAAACATTGATTATAAAATTAAAAAATAATCATATTTCTTACACACAGGTAATTTGATATATATTTTATTTATTAATTTTTATTTTTATCATATACTTGAGAATATTAAATTGTAAGCCCGCATATATGCAAATTCTAATCTGGTATAAATATATAAAATCGTATATAATATAATATGTGTTATTAGTCATTAATTATATTGAGAAAGGGTCGAATAATTATATTAAGAAAAGGATCAAATTATTGTTAATTGTTAGTAAATTAGTTTAACTTTATTGATAGTCCAATAGTATTAAGAAAATAATAGAAATTTGGATGAAATCCTTTACATATTAATTGAGAATATCGTTTAATAAAAATGCTGATTTGTTTTAACTTGATTGGTTAATATATTTAGTTTGGCAATTTAAATGTGACATGGAAACGATGATGTGTAATGATGATGTAATTGTAATATGTTAGTTTTTAATACATGTGGCTTATGATATGATGTTATTTAATCTATAGATAAAATTTGATTTTGAAGTAAATGAAATTTTTGTCAAATAGATTTGAAATCATATTTTCGACACAAAACTTTTATTAAAAAATTTACAGATTTCAAGTATTTAGCGGGAAAGTTTTTGCAACCTAATTTGCCGGAAATTTTTTGATATCATATTCTTGACATAAATTTATGGATTCACAATATTTGGCAAAAATTTTACGAAATCAAATTAAAACACTCTAAATAAATGTTTTTGGTGGGAAAATTACAAATTCACGCTTTTGGCAGAAAGTTTCTGAAATCGGATTTTCACAAAAAATTCTGAAATTTTAGTTTAAGTAAGTTTTTGGCGGAATATTTATAGATTCATTTACTTCGTGGGAAATTCATGAAATCAAAAATTTTGACTAGTAGTTTGTGAAATCAAATTTTTAATGTTTTCTTTGACAAATTGTTTTATAAATTCACCTTTTGGAAAAAAATTTACAAAATAGAAATTTTGATAAAATGTTCTTGGATCATATTTTGATGTAATATTTTGGCAAAAAATTTACAAAATCGGTTTTATGATGAAAACTTTTTGGAATCTTATTTTAAATAAGTTTTTGGTAAAATATTTACAAGTTCAAGTGTTTGTGTGAAATTTGGCAGAATGAGATTTTTGAAAGAGAATTTCTCTATTTTTGTTATCCTCTTATCTTGTCCCACTATAAACAAAGAACAAAAGTTTATATTATATGTGAATGTATTCTAATTATATAGCGAGAATTACGAACCAGAAATGGGATGAAATGTGACATAATGAGATGAAAAACTATAAAAAGATGAAAAATATGAATAAAAAGTAGAAGACGAAGAAAATAAAGAAGAATTATTTTATTTATTTTATGTTTTTATGTTTTTTCTTAAATATTTTAAGTTTTGTGTATATTTTATTTTATTCTATATACAGTTTCTCAAACCTATTAAAATATCTTTTCAAAAACTAAATTTTTTTACAAATATATTACTCAACATGCTAATCACTTATTTCTTTTATAAAGAAAATGCTCTAAAATGATCGAGAATGATAAAATAATGTGAAATAGATACCCCATTGATGGGAAATTGTGAAAATGACCCATTTTTATAAATGTCAGCGCTACCTTTATAACTACTGTTAATTGTAGACTAACGGCAGACTAACAACAGACTGAATGCATACTACTGACTAACTGATTGGTCAGATAATTGAATGTAGTCTACTGACATGATAGATTAAATGCAAATTACTTGGAGACTAATAGCAGAATGAAAGCAAACTAGTGGACCCCTCTTATAGAAGGGTCATGTTTCATAATAAAATTGTCAATTGGGTTATTTCAAAATTTATCCCTTTATTATAATTATATATATATATATATTCTTAATTAACTTTTATCATAATTCTCATATATATATGTATAGGCTAACCACCTAGTAATCAATTATTAGGAAATATTTTAACTTTATTGATGGTCAACTCATATTGAGAAAATAACTGAAATTTGATTGGAATCTTTAAATGTTAGTGACTATTTTAAATTTATTGATGGTTAACTCGTATTGAGAAAACGGCGGAAATTATTTTAGTCACTCGTATTGACTGATTCTTCCGCTAACACCTGTGTACACAACTTTTGCGGGTGGTAGCGGTTGTTGGCGTTTGACAATAATTACAGAAAATGTTTTTAACCATTTTGTACTTTTTTTTCTTCTTCAAAATCAAAAAGCTCATTTCCACTAGCGTTTGCGGTTGCGGCAGACAATTGCGGTTGAACAATTAAAAAAATAAAAATTTATTCAAAATCAAATTATATGTAATATTTTTTTTCATAAAAGAAGTTTTGGATGATATAATTACAAAATTTATAAATATATTTGACACTTTTTGAAGTAATACTAATTATGTATTTTATGATCTAAATTTGATATTCATTAACTATTAATCATACTTTTAAATTTATAAGAACTTTAAGCCCAAAAATTTGATAAATTTTCTTTCTATTATATATATATATATATATATTGTCGTACAAACT